ATTTTAAATGTGTTTTCTAGGTAGATAGACGCTTTCAAGACTACAAAGGAAGATGCCCAGACAGTTATCCGTATTTTCACACAAGAAATCACCTAGATGGGGGTGTTTGTTATAAATCAGCTCAGACAATAGCCCAGCTTTTGTATTTAAAGTATGTCAGGCCTGGTAAAAGCCCTTAGGATAGAATGGAAATTTCACATTCTTTATTATCCACAAAGTTCAGGGATAGTAGAAAGAATGAACAGGACCATAAAGGATAGACTATGGAAAGCAACTGGGGGCACTTTTGCAAATTGGACAAAGATGCTCCCCGTTATCCTTGCAGAGATCAGAATGACACCTAGCAAAACCACAATATATTCACCTTTTGAAACTCTAATAAAAAGACCATTCCCTACCCCCTGGGCTAGATCACCTTTAACCCTAGGGGCATGAGATTTGGATCAGATTTGAGAAAAGTATGTCCATAAATTGATTGAAACTTTAGATATGGTTGAAAGAAATGTTGCTCGCACCTCTCTTTCTGATTCACAGTTACCAACGCACCCATTTCAGGTTGGGGATCACGTGATGGTTAAACAATTAGCCCAGGACAGAAGGCCAGATATCCTTTCGAACCAGAGACCAGAGTGATAGCAGTCACCAGAACCGCAGTCTTAGTAGAAGGACAACAAGCCTGGATCCATGCCAGCCGGGTGAAAAGAGTCAAGGTGGCCAAAGACACAGGCACAGGAGAGGACCAGGAAAAGGTGCTGCCTATTAAAGGAGGTGAAGCAGGTGATACAAAACCTCGAAGAGTGAGTGAAGTCGGTAACAAAGTCTCTCAAAATAATCAAGGTGAACATTCTATTAGCCAAGGACTCTGGCAAACTATGGATTCTGCTGGGACTGATTACATTTTTAGTGTTTACCCCAATATGGACAGTGACTAACTGCATATACTCCCCAGAAGACCTTGGCGCTGTTCAGGTCATATGTGGCTACAAGGAGAACCAGAATATCTCAGAAAATACACACACGGTTCACAACAACGATAATATTACCTCAGAAAACGCACACCCAATACACTCTAGGACCAAAAGAGAAACCAATATACCAGCACAGAAACCACAGGTTGCTATTACCAGAGATGGGAAGTTTACTACATTGTGGTTCGACTCTCCTAACACCCATGTTGCTACCTTTTCCTTCACCTATGGAGACCTCACAGATAGAGGAGATGAAGAGAGTAGCAGGAAAAGGGTGCACAAGAGGCAGGGAATAGGTTACATCTGTGTAACTGATGATTATTGGGGGAGTAACTGTGATTATTGGGGAGCAGTGGGATGGAACATAGGAACTGACTAGGGATACAAACCTGACACGGCCATAAATAAGAAGGACAAGAACGGAAAATCCCTCATAAATAGAACGACTCTTACCAAGCCCAATGCCAAATATATGCTTACCATAGAAAACCCCAGCCCTAGTGATTCGGGAATGTATATATTTGGGTTATGCTGGGGAGGGGGTATATCGGGAACAAGGGGCAATTTAAGATACAAGACATGCATAATAACAATGATTACAATCCCCTGAAGCCACACATCAGTACTTTTAAGGATTTGATTGCCATTGCTGATCCTTCTTTCGAAGATACCATGGCAGCGGAGATGGGATTTTTAGATGTAAATCTTTGGTTAGAATGGATGAGGTACAGTGCCCTGCAGCACAAGTCTAATTGTTACTGTATGTCTGTGGAGCAGCCAGGCCCCATGTGGGAACAGTGCCACTAAACCTTCCTGAAGATGTTGAAGAATGTTTCCTAAGTCTTTTTACAGGACACACATAACAAAAATGCTTCCTGTGAAGCATGGAAAGCAAAGTATCCCATAGTCACTAAAACCCCCAAACCCGGGGAAGGTTTGCAAATATACCCCGGAAATTAATTTGTTACAAAGGAATAGCGCATAAAAGAAGTTTGGCAAATTTTACAAAAGGTTTTTATCACACATACAGCAATATTGTATCTAGGCTTTTACAGAATCCGACACAATTTTTAGGTGATATCTGCTGGATTTGTGGTGATGGTAAGATCAGGTCTAGATTGGAGAAGGAGTGGTCTGGTGAGTGTGTTTTGGCCAAAGCTATTATGCCCCTGCATATCTTTAGTGAAATTCCCTCTGAGATCCCTGGAGATATAGCAGGAGGCACCCAGAGGCACAAGAGGGAGGCCCCGATGGGTAGTTTTGACCCACATGTTTATATAGACGCCATAGGGTTCCAAGAGGGGTCCCGGATGAGTTTAAAGCCAGGGACCAGGTCAAAGCGGGTTTTGAGTCAATTATTCAAACCATCACCATCAACAAAAATGTTGATTGGATAAATTATATATATTACAATCAGCAGAGGTTTGTCAACTACACCAGGGACGCATTGAAGGGGATAGCGGAACAGTTGCAGGCTGACTCCGCCATGACCTTCCAAAATCGTATGGCCTTAGATATGATGCTTGCAGAAAAGGGTGGTGTGTGTGCAGTGGTAAAAAGAACCGGTACTTGCTGTACCTACATTCCAGACAACACTGGGCCAAATGGTAAGGTCACTATGGCTATAAAAAAACTGATCTGTCGGAAGAGTTGAAAAGGAATTCAGGGATCACTGACCCATGGGATCAATATTTCGGGTGGCTCGAGGGATGGAAGCAGGTGCTAGCACAAATAGGGGTGATTATTGTAGTCACCCTGATACTCATAGCCTTGATAGTATGCTGTGTAATTCCCTGTATAAAGAGGCTTATGAACAAAGGTATAGATACAGTATGACTATATATGAGGAAGAGATCCAAGAACAAACTGCCCTATTGAATCCAAAGCCTAAAGAGTATCACAGCTATCTAGCAAAATACAAGGAAATGTTGCAAAGAAACTGTGTGATATAAGTATATGCAAAGGAAAAATCATATATGTAAATAATGATTTAAGAGGGAATTGAAGGGAAATGTATGTCCTTTTTGTCTGTCATTTTGTTTCCCCCCTCCATTTTATATTTTGTACTCCATGTTGATTAATTGTTTTATATTATACTTAGAATAAGTTAATGAAAATATGCTGTGTCAGATATGTTTTAATTGGAGCCTCTGGAAATGGATGGTGCTGACAGAGGCTGCAATTGTGGTCCATTGCTGTTGTGCGTACTCTTCCTCCTAACTTCAAGATGGGGGCACCCTCTGGAAATTGAAGGTGCTAACAGAGGCTGCAAATGTGGTCCATTACCGTTAGGCCTGAGGCAGGTATGTGGTGGACTCCTGGGAATGCTGGTAAGGCCAGAACAGAGACTCCTCGGGTGACCTTTAAAGGGGTGAGGTATGGGAATTCCACCCAGTACAATGGGTACCCTATGGGGTCCATGCTCATAGCATATCAATAGGTCTTAGGAACTACCATAAGTCTGGGACAAGAATGGGATAAACGTGTTCTCCCCCACCACATAGCAATTAAACACATGGAAGACATGCAGCATAGCACATGGATCCCATTGCTTTTTAAAAAGTTATCATAATTTGTAAATTTTGAGGCTGGTGCTTCGTCCTATATTTTGCTTTGTAAGTCACTTAATTGTGAGCACATTACAGCCCTGTGCTTGGCATGCATGCATTTAACATGAAAAATGATCTTTGATGCTCAGCCTACTTTAACGGTTGTGCAACAAATTTCCAAAAGCTAAAAATAACAATAGCAGGTTTGCATAAAAATATTCATTACAATGCGAAGTCTTTAAATATATTTATTCATTAACTTAAATGACTGAAAACAGCAAACTGCAAGTAATAAATATATGATTGACAACACAAAATGTGAATAAATACATATAATCAAACAATCAATAGGAATTTACCAGTTTGACTTTCCAATACAAATTAAATTACATGAGCTAAAAGGTATAGAAGACTGCACTGTCCATCATTTTGCTCTGATATAAATGACCTTTTTAGAGAGAAGTGCAGGCTGACAGAAGAGAAACCATTGTCATGTTATAAAATGTATGCAGTCGGGATACATAATTGTATACTGCAAATCTAGGTTACACAGGAAATTAAAGGGGAACCTTGGGCAAAGGCAAATTAATTATTCTATATGTCATAAGAGACACTGGGTCTGAATTTTGTTTTTGAATTCACTGGCACAAATCTATTGATCAACTTTAGACTGCAGCCCAAGGTAACCAAATTATCTGCTTGTGACACAAGGGCTTGGTGCATGGTTGGGTAACATTTTCTAATATTATTCCTGCATACTATGTCAACTGGGGTAAATTAGTCAAACCCAACATCCATGCTGGTGATTAGCACCTAAGCTGGAAACTGGAATTGATAGAAATTTTAAACTTCAGAGAAATACCAAGTAAATGTAACGTACTAGTCTGCAAGTCTACTGATGTTTCTTGTCTTGATTAAAGTTTTCCTTAGCGGTTAGAGATCCAGAAAGTTCACTAAACTGACAATTGTCACCTACTGCATTTGGATACTGTGCTTATGATTTTATATATCATACCTCCATCTGACTTTCCTGTACACCCAATGCTGGATAATAGCAATGTTTGTAAGGGAGATAACCACTTTCTTGTAACACTTTAAAAATCCATTGTTTCACTTATATGGTGCAGTACCCTATGAAAAGTCTCCAACACAAGTATATTGTGATTTTAATAACCATTCATGTTTATTTTTATCATTCTGAGAGTCTAATCACTGGTAAATTGTAGAGTACATAACAGGAAAGTTGCATCAGATGAACTAGGTAAAATGAACACATAAAACAGTATTTGCAAAGTGTTTTAAATAAACAGTAGTTCAAAAATGGCTGCACATATTTGACCAGTTTAGGTGTAATAATTCTGATGCTAGAAAATAATAAGAACCATCATTAATGGTGTCCTGCATAAATTGAGGTCTTAACAGTGACCGTTGTAATAATTTGATTTTATTTAAAAACAAAGTTGCTGTTGTTACGTATTTGATGTTAACATGCTTTTGCAGCACAGCACTCTAAACAACGGCAGCATTTTGCACACATGGAGCAGTTCAAACAACTGCTGCACTGGCAACACTTGAAGCACTGAAGGCAACTGCAGCTCTCAAGGCAGCTGCAGCTCTCAAGGCAACTGCAGCACTGTAAGCACTGGCAGGATTGTAGGCACTGGGAGTCCTCTGAGCAGGGGCAGCAACTAAAACACTTGAAAAGTTCAGCAAAACACTGTAAGAAAACATGAAAAACAAATGTTAGTCGAGGATTTAGACTTTCTGGCAGGATCAACAGGCATTTTTTTAGCTTACTGAAAAAATATAACAACATTCTTTCAATTGTATAGAAATTAAATAAATAAGTTACTTATTTAGGATTTACAGATGTTAAGCCCCATTCATATGCTCATTAAACTAAAAAAAAAGGATCTGATCGTATTTATTATGATACTATAAATATAATAGTGTTATTATTCAATTGTCCATCTTGTTTACATATGTAGTTTATTTATAATGAGGTCTAATTCACCTAAATTAATTTCCCTCACTTTTCACAATTTGCTGTTAATATTTGTTGGGTACTTTTAAATCTGGCTGCTAATTCCTGCATCTTTTGAGTGTTTGTTTTAGTGTAGTAACTGTTAATAAGTTACTGTTTTTGGTGAACATTATGATAACTAACATTTAGGATGAACACAAGGAAAAAATCAAGTGGTGGTTAGTCTTTTATTTTTTATAGGTGAATAATTATAAATTAGGTGAATGATTAGTTGGTAAATATACAGCTAAATTGACATTTGACCCCTCCCCCCTTTGTAGCCCTAATTTACTGAAATGTTAATTTTAATAATAAATATTCACTTACTGAATTCTTGCAGCAAATGCAAGACAGCACAGCGCCAATGACCCCGAGTCCAATAAAGATCCACTGAATGATCAAGATTGAGAAGACAAAGTAATACATGCCATGATGACATCCTTGCTCTGTTGGTCGATAAATCCTGAACACCCAGACACTGCCTACAAGAATAAAAATTTTTTAACAGTCCATTAAGTCATGCAATATATGATCTGGGGATGGCTTAACAGGAGTCTAGCAAAGATTACTTTGACATATTATTTATTTACAGTTCTGGATATACTGACAGTAATGCATTTTCTTTAACAAAAAACTTTTTCAGTTATAACCAACATTTATCCAAACTGATGTGAGCTGGACATTTTATTACTTGTTGTTCCATATTTAATTTTTTTTCACTTAAGACATATACAAATATAACTGTTTCCTCTAGCATCTGTATTTCAGGCAATCAGATATATTTGTACAGAGACCCCCCATTCATCCAAATACAAATGGCCAATACAAACCCATTTGAAAAAATACTTACAGTCCAGCTTCTGATGCTCCTAGAAGGTGACATCACTTTACCACCAAGGAGAGCTGGGTGCTCAGAATTGCTGGATTTTGTTTTAGCTTAATGGTCCTGAACCTGCAAACTAGGACAATGTATCCTATACCTAGGGTTTGCGTAATCCACACAATGCATAAATAGCATGAATTAGCTAATGCTACCTTTACATCCAGATGGATGCATAACAGCACCCAGAGTGATGATCATGGGAACTCTTTTGGCTGGAGTCCTTAGGGAGTTTCATGAGTTAATACAACAACTGGCTTGTGCTTGTGTAGGCATTGGAAACATAAATGATGATACTGCATTATGCTATGTTTCATGTTTTTATGTAGCATTATAAACCGCGGAGTCAGGAATAAAGCCAAAGGTTGCCATAATTAACGAGCACTTTAGATATTATATTCGTCTTTTTCAGTTTGCCACATGGATTTGTACTGAAATTTGAGGTGGTAGTTGTGTATGTGTGTGTATACAAAGATTACATTTTCCTGTTTTTAGAAACATTAAACATGTCCTTACCTGCAATAAACCAGGCAAACACAAAAAGGCCAACTAGAATGGCAAGGATTTTTCCGAGAGTGGGGCAGAAGCAGTTCAATGGTAATATAATCCAGTATGCAAAGCTGAAGGCTCCCGCAACAATCATAAATATTGGGATATATGGTGACTGTGGACAACCGTATCTATGTATGGCACCTACAGGTGATAAAAGGAACACACATTTTTCAGATTTATTACCATAAATACCACAATTCATTGCAGAAAATACACTATATTGCTAAAAGTATTGGGGCGACTGCCTTTACAAACACATGAACTTTAATGACACCCCAGTCTTAGTTCATAGGGTTTAATATTGAGTTGGCTCACCCTTTGCTGCTATAACAGCTTCAACTCTTCTGGGAAGGCTGTCCACAAAGTTTTGGTGTCTATGGGAATGTTTGACCATCCTTCCAGAAGCACATTTGTGAGGTCAGGCACTGATGTCAGATGAGAAGGCCTGGCTTGCTGTCTCCACTCAAATTCATCATAGGTGTTCTGTTGGGTTGCGGTCAGGACTCTGTGCAGACCAGTAAAGTTCCTCGACCCCAAACTCGCTCATCCATATCTTTATGGACCTTGCTTTGTGCACTGGTATGCAGTCATGTTGGAACAGGAAAGGGGCCATCCCCAAATTGTCCCTTAAAGTTGGGAGCATGAAATTGTACAAAATGTCTTGGTATGCTGATGCCTTAAGAGTTCCCTTCACTGGAACTAAGGGGCCAAGCCCAACCCCTGATAAACAAATCTACACCATAATCCCCCCTCCACCAAATTTTACACTTGGCACAATGCTTTCAGGCAAGTACTGCTCTCCTGGTAACCACCAAACCCAGACGCCTCCATCAGATTGCCAGACAGAGAAGTGTGATTCGTCACTCCAGAGAACACATTTCCACTGTTCTAGAGTCCGGTGATGGCGTGCTCTACTACCACTGCATCCGACGCTTTGCATTGCGCTTGGTGAGGGAAAGCTTGGATTCAGCTCCTTGGCCATGGAAACCCATTTCATGACGTTCTCTATGCATTGTTGTTGTACTAATCTGAAGGCCACATGAAGTTTGGAGGCCTTTAGCTATTGACTCTGCAGATAGTTTGCAACTTCTGTGCACTGTCCACTTTAGCATGAGCTGACCCCGCTCTGTCATTTTACGTAGCCTACCACTTTGTGGCTGAGTTTCTGTTGTTCCCAGTTGCTTCCATTTTGTTATAATCCCACTAACAGTTGACCGTAGAATATTTAGTAGCAAGGAAATTTCACGGATGGACTTATTGCACAGGTGACAACCTATCATGATACCACGCTTGAATCCACTGAGCTCCTGAGAATGACCTATTCTTTCACAAATGTTTGTAGAAGCAGTCTGCATGCCTAGGTGCTTGATTTTATATACCTGTGGTCATTGAGGTGTTTGGAAAACCTGAATCCAATGATTTGGAGGGGTGTCCCAATACATTTGGCAATATAGTGTATGTACATATCAGACAACAGATTAAAAAAACAATTAAACTGTGTTTTTGCTCTTACCTACTACAATGAATGCCACTCCTATTGCAGTCCATATTAAAAAGAATGCAATCTGAAGCACTAGAATAAAAAGATAAAATTTTCAAATATTTTCAGCCCGCAGAATTAAATGTACATCATTTACAATAAATTTAATGATATTGTATACTTGTTCTTAAAAGATTAAAAAACATTTTGTAAAACATTAAACTTTCTCTGTTTGTGTTTTTAACCATTTGAAACATGAACATGGTATATTAAGACAAGGAAATCTGTGTTGTGAAAGTGACAGTGTAGACACTGCTAACTTGCTTTTGAAAATACTAGTTTTCTGGCTGATCCAATTGCTTTATTGCCCAGTAAGAAGTATGCATATCAAGTTTTCCCCTTCCTGACTTCACCAACTGCATGCTTCTTTTTGGTATATGACTCAGAGAGGTTGATTTACTAAAACTGGAGAGTGCAAAATCTGGTGTAGCTCTGCATAGAAACCAATCAGCTGCCAGGTTTTATTGCTAAAGCTTAACTGAACAAACTGAAGTTAGAAGATGATTGGCTACCATGCGCAACTGCACCTGATTTTGCACTCTTTAGTTTCAGTAAATCAACCCCACAAGGGGTTGTAGGTATCAGCAAGACACAAGGGAAAAGGGAAAGTATGTCACTCTTAGGAACACTTATCTTACCATGGCTACTAAAAACTACAACACCATGGCGACCTTTGTATGGTACACTTTGTTTAGCTCAGATAAATCTGTCCCTACCATGAAAGGACTGCTTGGTTGTAGTCACCGCTAGCTGTTCAGAAGGTCATCAGCATTGGCAGGTCAAGCCCGATATGTATGCATCATACATGGGCAGCTTGGAAAAAAGTGAACCTTGATTCTCTTTTTGTTTTGTTTTGGTTTTTTTTTGCCTAAAACATTTTTGTCAATTATCTGGAAAGATTATTTTTACATGTAAATGACAGATGTTGACTCAAATTTATTTTATAGGAAACTATAAAAATGAAATTTAATTTGAGTTTTTTTTAGAGATTACATGTTTCTAAACAAATATTTTATATGAATTTTAATTATTTGGTACAATGTGTATTTTCGAAATAAACATTTATTATAGTCTGGATCTGCAACAATCAGTTTGAAAAGCATGCTGGACTTTTAATAACAAAGCCCAGCCCTGCCTGTATGCTTGTTGACCATCTGTGTGAACAGCCTAATAAAGGATCCATCATCTCTGCTGATAGAGAGTAAATGAAATTGTTATTCATACTTACACATTTTCCAGTTACAGCAGCCTGCAATGTGAAAAAAAAGCAATATTACAATGATACCATGGAGTAGATGCCACAAACAGTTAAAAAGGTGTTACAGCAAAATATATAAAAAGGTCATAGGGTATGTGAACATAGTCATATTGTCACAAATAGTATGTTTATTAGGTTTGCCAATTTTTTACATAAGGGACCTTATACATAATTCCTTTACAAGGAAGAAAAAACCTAAAAAAAAAAACAAATGCAGCCACCACATTTAAAGATTGCTAAGCTGCAAAATATTAAATATTAGTTTTGAGGTTTACTACCACTTTAAGTGACAAAGCGTAATGCATGTATTGCAAGAAACATTCTAAAATATTTGGTGTACCAAACTTAATACACCGCTCAGAAACAAAATCAAGTATTACCAAGTATGCCACCAGATACCAGACCGATAACTTGATCACATACATACAGTAGGTCAACAGCTAACTCTTTTAAAATTATCTGTTCTGACCTATTTCTGTATACTTATTCCTGGCCATCATTATTTTATCTAACCACACCTAAGCAGATATTGCCCATTTGGCCAAAGTCAAGAGAGATGCTCATAGTAAGATAATGTCAGGAATGACAGGCTTGAAATTCCTGTTTGTACACGTCTGTTGTCCTCATTTTAACCACAGTTGCAGAACAATTGAATGCAGTAAACTACATAGCTAGAAGCAGACATCAGATAATTTCAGTGTTATCCAAACTATGTTGAGCAGATCGACTTTCCTGCAAATTACTTTGCTCTGAAATTATAGATTTTGCTACAAAATTGCCAAACTTCCATCAAAATTTTCTTGGAAAAAAATACATGGCTTTGTTTTCTAACAAAGCCATCATTCACCAGGTCCATGCTCACATGGTGGTCAATGGCTTGTTTATTTTATCAACCAATTACATCTCTAGAAATTTACTGAAGACCAAATTGGCTACTGACTGGTTGGCTTGAGGCTACTATATGATTGCACTTTGATATTAAAAAAAATTAAAACTTTTCAGGTTCGCAACAATTAATTAGTTAAAAAAATAAGCCACTAACAAGCATAACAAAAAAGCACATTAGTTCTCTGAGTTTCAAGTTTTACTTCCAGATGATGTTAGAATTAAATACTTACTGCTGCTTAGTTTACTTTGTGCAATACCATCTCCTGCCATGATGCCTGCTGTATTGTACTGGTCTCTTTTTTTTCTTTTTCTAAAGGAAAATGTATATAATATTAGTTTACAATTATTTAAGACCAATTAGCTATATGTTAGCTATGTTTAATTTTCTTTTTCTTTCCAGTAGAAGGGAATACAGTCGGAAACATATACACCATAATGCAGAATTGTAATTTTTTCATTTTCTAGATGGGCTTAACCACAAATAAGCAGATTCCAAAGACAAAAGCCTTCCAAACTCCATCTCATAACATTTGTTTTTTCCTTACAGTTGTATAAAAATTGCTTTAAAGTAACATATTTCTCATACAAGCTGAATGTAAATCTGTCTATGTTCTGTTGGGGAGATTTACCTTTACTTCTTGTCTCAGAGACAATTTAGGAAGCAAAAATGTGTCACTTCAGAAGCAAGCTGATAAAGAAAGTCATCACAAGAACAGGTTTCTTCCATTGAAGATTTACCCTCACCTCCTGTTTTTGTGTCAGCTCAAACATTTTGGCTTTCCTATCACTTACGTATCAGATACAATGATCACCAAGGCCAGTAGAGACACAGACATAAATAAAATCCACACGGAGGTTATATATATATATATATATATATATATATATATATATATATATATATATATAAAAGAAAGCTTTGCTTTGTTTACTAAGTATCCTGTGCTTCTAAGACCATAGCAATCACACAGCTTACTATGGCTGTAGGTATCTGAAATATCACTACGATTGTGATATAAATATGATATACATGTTAATCAAAGTTCTACTAATATCATACGGGACTTAAACACTGTAGCGCCAACAAATACAAAGTAAAACTTTTTTAAAATGGTGTGCTAAAAAAAAAAAAAATTTCTGGCCACTTTCAAAATTCAACTTAAAAAAATAAGTATTTAAAAATATGACTGAAATAAAACTAGAGAGAGGTTGTCAGGGATCAAAAATCCTCTACGTGGCTTTAATCCACAGCTGTGATGATGCCACAGGAAAAATTTAAACATAAAACATTGCCACCTACAGTAGACTAGTGTGCAGTCCAAAAAAATAAGACACAAACTAAGCCAATGCCACCTAGAGAATTGAAATACTTTACCCAGAATAAAATCCAGAAGCTCACCACTAAGCGTAGACAATGTAACCCACAGTAGTATCCAAGTAACTGTATAAAACTACCTTAAGTTGTCCTTGTTGAACACATATAAAAATGCAGTACCTTAATGATGATGTTCTAACTCCAAGTGCCAAGAGTTGGAAATGATTACAGTTTTAAAAGGAGTTCTATTTATATAAATCCGTCAATTATCACTCCTCTCATTTACAATGATGTGTTCATTCTTTTGGCATGCCAACAATCAGCAATTAATTCATTCACACAATTCCTGGTCACCTCATTCTTGTCTAAATAATCCAATGAATTCCATATGCCAGCTACAACAAATCCTGATGTAAAGAGTCACCTTTAATACCTAACAAACACATGGACAAGAACAGAATTATAATGTGTAGTTGTCCGTGGGACATGTGACATGTAGATTTAAAAGAGATTGACCAGTATTTCATTCTTAGAATGAATCATTCATCATTACTACTGCCCTATACAACCTGTAAAAGACAAGGCATACCTACAGCCAGAGCAGACAGGAATGCTTCACTTTGATCTAAAGCAGGATCATCGACACCAATTTAAAAAAAATGGTAGATGTTCTAGCCCTCCACTTCAATCACTTCATTTTGGTGAAACAGTAGCCATGGGACAAAAAGGAAGCAGAATTGTCTCCAATGGAGCCACAGATAGCAGTAGACTCGCAAAAAAGAGGGTCTAAACCTTCTGCAATAAGAAGAACGTTTGCCAAAGTATAACAAGATAAAAATTAATTATTTTTATTTATTAATTGAAAAACAAAATATCAAAACCAGCTTTTGTTGCAGTATTCACCTTCAATTTAGAGATTCCATCCACAGTTCTTTTTTCCAGTTCCCCAGCCTTTGATTGGACAGTGAAAGGAGAACAGCACAGTTATAAGCTCATCTATCTGTCACTCTGCTAGCTCCTTGTATCAGCATGCATTTTGTCAGCACATGAACTGACTGACACCTTGTGCTACTTCTCCCCCTCCTAATCTGAGCTCTACTATGTAGAGACTGCAAGAGGCTGATATCAGGTCATATTCAGGTACTGACGCTGCTTGTATATAAAAAAAACATTTATTGATGACGGAATGATTTTAGAACTGCATTTAATGTTGCCATGATATCTGCCTTGAGTTCCACTTTACATAAAAAACAGCATTTTGGCTGAACATTCACTTTATTCTCTGTTTTGCTGTGAAGTCTGCAGTGAACAAATTATCTTTACAAATTACATAGCACCACTGGATTGGCGTAAGGCTAATGTGGTGCCTGTATTTGAAAAAGGGATCAAAGTCTTTACCAAGTAATTACAGACCTGTTAGTTCAACTTCTATGTTTGGGAAGATACTGGAGAATTTAAGAAAAGACCACATAGATGAGTTCTTGTTAGAAAAAAAATGTAAGCAACAGACAGCATGGATTCATGAAAGACAGAAGTTGTCAAACAAATCTGATTTTCTTTTTATGAGGAGGTAAGCAAAACCTTTGACAAAGACAGTGGCTGTGGACATGGTATACTTGGATTTTTTAAAAGTGTTTGACACAGTTCTCCACACACTGCTAATGTGTAAGGTAGTCTAGAGGCTTGGAGAAATCAGTTTGCAAATTGATAGAAAACTGGCTAAAAGACCGTATTAGAGAGTAGTGGTTAATGATTCACACTCTGTATGGTCTGAGCCAGTGGTCTCCCAACTGCGGACTGGGGACCAGATGTAGCCCTTTGCTTGCTTTTATCTGGCCCTTGGGGCATTATTCCCTCCACTGTCAGCAACAGTGGGGCATAGTACCTGCCACTGACAATGGGGCACTAGTCTTCTCACTGACATTAAAGATGGGACAGCATGCCTCCTATAGATACCAGTGATGCGGCACTATTCCTCCCATTGAAACCAAAAATGGGGTGCTATTCCTCCCACTGACACCAATGATGGGGCACTATTTCTCCACTGCCACCAATGATGAGGCACTATTTCTTCCACTGACACTAATGATGGGGCCCTATTCCTCTCACTTTTACCAATGGTGGGGCACTAGTCCTCCCATTGATACCATTGATTGGGCACTATTCCTGCCACTGACACCAATGATAGGGCACTATTCCTTCCACTGACACCAGTGATGGGACACCATTTGTCCCACTGACACCAATGATGGGGCACTATTCCTCCCATTAATAAAAACAATGGAGCACTCTTTCTCCCCCTAAGACCAAAGATGGGGAATTGTTTATTCCCATTGTTGTTGAGACATTTTCTGCTCCCACTGACCACTTTACGGCCCCCCTAAAGTTTTAAGTATAGTAAACTGACCATTTGTTTATAAAGATTGAAGATCTCTGGTCTAAGGTTATTAGTGATGTACCCCAAGGTTCAGTGTTGGGACCCTTGCTATTTAATTCATTTATAAATGATATAGGATCTGGGATTAAAAGCACCATTTCTGTCTTTGTAGATGACACCAAGATATGCAGTAGAATAACAGCCTTACAGGATGTCTCCAACTTACAAGTAAATCTTGATGTTCTGTTTAATTGGGCAACTATGTGCCAAATGAGGTTTAATGTTGATAAATGTAAAGTTTTGCACTTGGGGGCTAAAAACACACATGAGTCCCAACTGGCATGAAGGGGACTGACTGCACAGGGATGCATGGAACACCTGTGCATCCTCATGCGGGCAAACATGTCCCTCGCACAGGTCCTAACAGCCTATTGTTGCTGAGTTTAAAAGCAGGAGAGTGGAAAGAGCAATGGGGACACTTTTCAATAGCTGTCCCTGGAATTGTCCTAGGCGTGTTACTGTACAAATGTCTGTTTCATGTAATGTCATTGTATTTCCCTAATAATGGTATAATACTGCTATGGCAATGGTAAATACTTTCCTGTTATAGTGCAAATACCTTTTCTCATCAGATGTTAGAGCAGTCATATGACTTCTATCAGTGTCCAGCAGAGTACTGGTTAAAGCTTGAAGGAGGAGTTTTCATTCTCCCCTATGACCCTCTGTCTGGACAGTGCTGATTGGTCCTGTGCTGATCACATGCACCCTCCCAAAAAAAAAAAACCTCTCTAGCAATACACACCAAACGGAGCATGTGCAGAGTGACTCCAAGCCTCTGTTCTATCAGAAGATATATTAGGGACAGTAGAATAGGGGGATGATCAGAGAAGACAGGATCAAACATCCATTTTACACAATGCGGGGGATCAACCCCTTAGGTTCCACGGTGAGTATAACAAGCATGCTTTACTGCATATACAGACTTATTTTACTCTGGTGGGTTTAGTGATACTTTAATGTCCTTGGCAATGTGTGTCCCCTCCTTTGTCATTGGCAATATGTGTTCCTGGTACTGTGTATCCCTTCCAATGACTCTGGAAATGTGTGTTCCTGGTGATATAATGTATGTCATTAGTAATGCCCTGGTATTGTGTACCACTGTAAATATATGACCCCTCTGATGTCATTGGCAATATACTATATCTCCCTGGAAATTTGTAACAATATGTTCCTAGTGAAAGCTAATGGCCTTTTATTGTCTAGGAGCAAGAAAAGATGGAAATACTTAAAAAACACTGCCAGTCTCTCACAAAATTGCTCTATAATGACATAGGGGGTCGAAGGAAGTAGACAGGGAGCATGGAGAGAGACACAGGTATTCAGCACCACTGGAAGCAACAAATGCTGAAGAGACTGCAGCAGTGGAGTGGAGAAAAGGTAGGAGAAATGGACTATATATATTATAAACAATTTTCTTTTTTTTGAAAAAGGATTTTACCTTATGTCCTCCTTAATCGCATGTCAGGAAAGTAGTGTACAGAGTTCAGGGGTCTTGAATATTGTATCACAGTGGATGGATCTTCCATTTCCCTTTCAAAGTATTGCTGTTCAGTAGCAGTAAAAAGAATACCACCCCCAAAATCATTGGTGGTTACTGGCAACAAACGCCCTCCCCGTCTCCAAATTTTTACAGAGATCCACACCCCATACAATTGCCTGACATTGCCATATTTAGTCAAAACTATGTACACAACAAGTATATTTCTCAAAGTATTGCCTGCCTTTACACGCACATGAACTTTGATGGCATCCCAGTCTTAGTCCGTAGGGTTTAATACTGAGTTGGCCCACCCTTTGCAGCTGTAATAGCTTCAACTGTTCTGGGAAGGTTGCCCACAATGTTTAGGAGTGTGTCTATGGGAATGCTTGATCATTTTTGAGGTCAGGCACTGATGTCGGATGAGAAGGCCTGGCTCGCAGTATCCGCTCTAATTCATCCCAAAGGTGTTCTATCGGGTTCAGGTCAGGACTCCATGCAGACCAATCAAGTTTCTCGACCCCAAACTCGCTCATCTATGTCTTTATCAACCTTGCTTTGTGCACTGGTGCACAGTCATGTTGGAACAGGAAAGGTTCATCTCCAAACTGTTCCCACAAAGTTGGGAGCATGAAATTGTCCAAAATGTCTTTATATGCTGACAACTTAAGAGTTTCCTTCACTGGAACTAAGGGGCTAAGCCCAACCCCTATAAAACAACCTCAAACCATAATCCCCCCTCCACCAAACTTTACAGTGGGCACAATTCAGTCAGGCAAATACCGTTCTCCTGGCAACCACCAAACCCAAACACGTCCATCGGAATACCAGACAGAGAAGCATGATTCATCACCCCAGAGAGGGAGAATGTCACCAGCACACCGAAGATCACCAATATGGGTTTTAAAAGTTTTGATGAATGATCACATAGTTACAGCAAGGCAACGTTTCGGAGTCTAGCAGGATCCCTTCATCTCCCACTTCTACACACAGCCATTTTTAATGCAGGAACGTGTTGAATTGTACACTTGCATTCATCACTCCAGAGAACATGTCTCCACTGCTCTAGAGTCCAGTGGTGGCATTCTTTACACCACAGCATCCGACGCTTTGCATTGCACTTGGTGACATAAGGCTTGGATGGCTCGGCCATGGAAACCCTTTCCATGAAGCTGTCTATGCACTGCTGTTGTACTAATCTGAAGGCCACTTGAAGTTTAGAGGTCTTTAGCTATGGACTTTTCAAACAGTTGGCGACTTCTGCCCACTGCGCGCTTCAGCATGTGCTGACCCTGCTTTATCATTTTACATGGCTTACCACTTTTCGGCTGAGCTGCTGTTGTTCCCAGTTGTTTCCACTTTGTTATAATATCACTAACAGTTTATCATGGAATATTTAGAAGCAAGGAAATTTCACGGATGGACTTATTGCACAGGTGGCAACTAGAGATGAGCGAATCGAACTTGGCGAAGTGGAATTCGTTTCGAATATTAGGAAAAATTCGATTCGCATCGAATCCGAATTTTAGCAAACTTCGGATGCACGAATCGAATTTTCCCCGATCAGCCGCCTGCAAAAGTGTCACTGCAGAGAGCTCCGCTATTTCTGACAGTTCTCTGACAGTTCTGACAGTTCATTTACAGCGGTTGAAACATTGTATCTATTTGTTTCCATTTAGGATACAGATGTTTTTATTCGGAAATAAATAGATACAATGTTTCAACCGCTGTAAATGTGAAGGAACTGTCAGAGAACTGTCAGAAATAGCGGAGCTCTCTGCAGATACACTTTTTGCTGTACTGGAATTCTTCTTCTTTTCATTCTTCTTCTTCTTCTTTTCATTCTTCTTTTCATTCTTCTTCTTCTTTTCATTCTTCTTCTTCTTCTTCTTTTCATTCTTCTTCTTTTCATTCTTCTTTTCATTCTTCTTCTTCTTCTTTTCATTCTTCTTTTCATTCTTCTTCTTCTTTCATTCTTCTTCTTCTTCTTTTCATTCTTCTTTTCATTCTTCTTCTTCTTCTTTTCATTCTTCTTCTTCTTCTTTTCATTCTTCTTCTTCTTCTTTTCATTCTTCTTTTCATTCTTCTCATTCTTCTTCTCATTCTTCTTTTCATTCTTCTTCTTTCTTCTTTTCATTCTTCTTCTTTTCATTCTTCTTCTTCTTTTCATTCTTCTTTTCATTCTTCTTCTTCTTTTCATTCTTCTTTTTCTTCTTTTCATTCTTCTTTGCATTCTTCTTCTTCTTATTTTCATTCTTCTTCTTCTTCTTTTCATTCTTCTTTTCATTCTTCTTCTTCTTCTTTTCATTTTTCTTCTTCTTCTTCTTCTTCTTCTTCTTTTCATTTTTCTTCTTCTTCTTTTCATTCTTCTTTTCATTCTTCTTCTTCTTCTTTTCATTCTTCTTTTCATTCTTCTTCTTCTTCTTTTCATTCTTCTTCTTCTTCTTTTCATTCTTCTCATTCTTCTTTTCATTCTTCTTCTCATTCTTCTTTTCATTCTTCTTCTTTTCATTCTTCTTCTTCTTTTCATTCTTCTTCTTCTTCTTTTCATTCTTCTTCTTCTTCTTCTTTTCATTCTTCTTTTCATTCTTCTTCTTTTCATTCTTCTTCTTCTTCTTTTCATTCTTCTTCTTTTCATTCTTCTTTTCATTCTTCTTCTTTTCATTCTTCTTCTTCTTCTTTTTCATTCTTCTTTTCATTCTTCTTCTTCTTCTTTTCATTCTCTTCTTCTTCTTTTCATTCTTCTTTTCATTCTTCTTCTTCTTCTTTTCATTCTTCTTCTTCTTCTTTTCGTTCTTCTTTTCATTCTTCTCATTCTTCTTTTCATTCTTCTTCTCATTCTTCTTTTCATTCTTCTTCTTCTTCTTTTCATTCTTCTTTTCATTCTTCTCATTCTTCTTTTCATTCTTCTTTTCATTCTTCTTCTCATTCTTCTTTTCATTCTTCTTCTTCTTCTTTTCATTCTTCTTTTCATTCTTCTCATTCTTCTTTTCATTCTTCTTTTCATTCTTCTTCTCATTCTTCTTTTCATTCCTCTTCTTCTTCTTTTCATTCTTCTTCTTCTTCTTTTCAAGTCATTCTTCTTTTCATTCTTCTTCTTCTTCTTCGTCGTGCCCCGTGACTGCCCAAATGAGTGAAGTGTGCGGTGATTCTAAGATCGACGGCACTCATCTGCATGTCATACTGACTGACAGTATTATTTCTCTTCCCCAGCAGACTCCAAGGGCATTTAAATTAAAGGTACAGTGTTCTGCACTAATATAAAGGCTCTCTGAAGCCTAGAAACCCTTTTAATAAGTTAAATTCGCGGCGAATAAATTCGCATCGAATCGAATTTCTCCCGCAAATTCGGCGAATCAGCCGAATCGAATTTTTGAATAATTCGCTCATCTCTAGTGGCAACCTATCATGGTACCCTTGTTTGAATTCACTGAGCTCCTGAGAGTGACCTATTCTTTCATAAATGTTTGTAGAAGCAGTCTTCATGCCTATGTGCTTGATTTTATACACCTGTGGCCATGGAGGTGTTTGGAAAACCTGAATTCAATAATTTGAAGGGGTGTCCCCAATACTTTTGGCAATATAGTGTATGTACATATCAGACAACAGATTAAAAAAAGACAATTAAACTGTGTTTTTGCTCTTACCTACTACAATGAATGCCACTCCTATTGCAGTCCATATTAAAAAGAATGCAATCTGAAGTACTAGAATAAAAAGATTACATTTTAAAATATTTTCAGCCCGCAAACCTAAATGTACTTTATTTTACAATAAATTTAATGATATTGTATACGTGTTCTTAAAAGATTAAAAAAACATTTTGTAAAACATTAAACTTTCTCCGTTTGTGTTTTTAACCATTTGAAACATGAACATGGTATATTAAGACAAGGAAATCTGTGTTGTGAAAGTGACAGTGTAGCACTGCTAACTTGTTTTTGAAAAATACTAGTTGTCTGGCTGATCCAATTGCTTTATTGCCCAGTAAGAAGTATGCATATCAAGGTTTTCCCCTTCCTGACTTCCTGACTTCATGGAGGTGATTGGAACACCTGAATCCAATGATTTGGAGGGGTGTCCCAATAAAGCATGATCCAATTTGCTCCAGTGGGGGAAAAATGACTTCCTGATCCCCAGAGAGGCAAACAGAAATTCCCTGAATCAACTTAACCTATAAATATTAGTATCCAGTAACTAGTTATATTCTGTGTATCCAAGAAAGAATCCAGGCCTTAAAGCAATCCACTGAGCTGGCCAGAACCAACTCTTGAGGGAGTCTATTCCACATTTTCACAGCTCTTTCCGTGTTTAAAGAATACATTTCTTTTCCTCCAGACGTAAAGAGTAGAGATGAGCAAATCGAACTTGGCGAAGTGGAATTCGTTTTGAAGATTAGGAAAAATTCGATTCGCGCCGAATCCGAAAATTAGCAGACTTCGGATGCGCGAATCGAAATTTTCCAAAAATGGCGGCGACATGTGTGGCGACGGAGCGGGGATCTCTGGGAAGGCGCGCAGACAAGGCGCGCTGACCCATAATGCATTCATTCATGACATGTGATCGCATTAGCCAATCAGCAGCCAGCCAGCCAGCACTGTGTAATGGTCGAGCTATAAATTGCGGCCATCTTAGAATTCTCCATTAGCCTCCGGTCATTCAAGAGAGACAGACCTCTCTGTATTAGGGACAGAGTTAGGGCCAAAGAGACTTTAGGGCCACAGAATCGTTACTTAGGGACACAGAATTGTTACTCAGGGACACAGAACTGTTACTCAGGGGACACAGAATTGTTACTCAGAGGACACAGAACTGTTACTCAGGGACACAGAATTGTTACTCAGGGACAGACACAGAATTGTTACTGAGGGACACAGAATTGTTACTGAGGGACACAGAATTGTTACTCAGGGACACAGAACTGTTACTCAGGGACATAGAATTGTTACTCAGGGACACAGAACTGTTACTCAGGGACACAGAATTGTTACTCAGGGACAGACACAGAATTGTTACTGAGGGACACAGAATTGTTACTCAGGGACACAGAACTGTTACTCAGGGACACAGAATTGTTACTCAGGGACAGACACAGAATTGTTACTCAGGGGACACAGAATTGTTACTCAGGGACACAGAACTGTTACTACAGGGACACAGAAATTGTTACTCAGGGACACAGAACTGTTACTCAGGGACACAGAATTGTTACTCAGGGACAGACACAGAATTGTTACTCAGGGACACAGAATTGTTACTCTCAGGACACAGAACTGTTACTCAGGACACAGAATTGTTACTCAGGGACACAGAACTGTTACTCAGGGACACAGAATTGTTACTCAGGGACAGACACAGAATTGTTACTGAGGACACAGAATTGTTACTGAGGGACACAGAATTTGTTACTGAGGGACACAGAATTGTTAATCAGGGACACAGAACTGTTACTCAGGGACACAGAATTGTCACTCAGGGACAGACACAGAATTGTTACTCAGGGACACAGAATTGTTACTCAGGGACACAGAACTGTTACTCAGGGACACAGAATTGTTACTCAGGGACACAGAACTGTTACTCAGGACACAGAATTGTTACTCAGGGACAGACACAGAATTGTTACTCAGGGACACAGAATTGTTACTCAGGGACACAGAACTTTTACTCAGGGACACAGAATTGTTACTCAGGACACAGAATTGTTAAACTCAGGGACACAGAATTGTTACTCAGGGACAGACACAGAAATGTTACTGAGGGACACAGAATTGTTACTCAGGGACACAGAATTGTTACTCAGGGACACAGAACTGTTACTCAGGGACACAGAATTGTTACTCAGGGACAGACACAGAATTGTTACTGGAGGGACACAGAATTGTTACTGAGGGACACAGAATTGTTACTCAGGGACACAGAACTGTTTTTTACTCAGGGACACAGATTGTTACTCCAGGGAAAGACACAGAATTGATTACTGAGGGGACACAGAATTGTTACTGAGGGACACAGAATTGTTACTCAGGGACAGACACAGAATTAGTTACTCAGGGACACAGAAATTGTTACTCAGGGACACAGAACTGTTACTCAGGGACACAGAATTGTTACTCAGGGGACAGACACAGAATTGTTACTGAGGGACACAGAATTGTTACTGGAGGGACACCGAATTGTTATTGAGGGACACAGAATTGTTTTACTCAGGGACAGACACAGAAATTGTTACTGAGGGACACAGAATTGTTACTGAGGGACACAGAATTGTTACTCAGGGACACAGAATTGTTACTCAGGGACACAGAAATGTTACTCAGGGACACAGAATTGTTACTCAGGGACACAGAACTGTTTACTCAGGGACACAGAATTGTTTACTCAGGGACACAGAATCGTTACTCAGGGACACAGAATCGTGAATTAAAGAGTATGTCAGACAACACGCAGAGGAGTGGCAGAGGGAGGCAATGTTTCAGGAGCGAGCAGACTGGCAGCAGAGGAAGGGGTCGAGCAGCACTAGTCGCAGCCAGAAGGCCAGAGCTCCCGGTGTCATCCAGCGTCGAGTCTCCACCGACAAACCCGAGCCGTGATCATCGATTGGTTGGCTCGGTCGTCTTCCTCTTCCCAGGTCACCTCTGACACTGGCCTCCCATTGCATTGGCTGCTGTCTCCATCGCCACACTCTGCCATGTGCCACTTCAGGTCTCCTCACACTGCTGGAGGGTTCCATTTTTTGTCATAGGGTGCTGGCAGATTACGGCCTCCCATTGCTTCTGCCAGGCCCGTAAATCTGCCATGGGACCCCCGTACCGACTCCTCATGCTGCTCGCCAGGCCCATAATCTGTCATGGCCCCTGTACCGCCGCCTCCTCATGCTGCTGCCAGGTCCAGAGTCTCTCATGGGTCCCTGTAAAAACGGCCTCCCATTGCTGCTGTCTCCATCGCCACACTAAACAGATTGCCATGTGCCACTTTCAGGTCTCCTCACACTGCTGGTGGGTTCCATTTTGTCATAGGGTGCTGGCAGATTACGGGCCTCCCATTGCTGCTGCCAGGCCCGTAATCTGCCATGGCCCCCATCACCGACATCTCAAGCTGCTGCCAGGCCCATAATCTGTCATGGGCCCCTGTACCGCATCCTCATGCTGCTTGCCTAGGTCCAGAGTGTCTCATGGGTCCCCTGTACGGCCTCCCATGCTGCTGTCCTCCATCGCCACACTCTGCCATGTGCCCACTTTCAGGTCTCCTCACACTGCTGGTGGGTTCCATTTTTTCATAGGGTGCTGGCAGATTACGGCCTTCCCATTGCTGCTGCCAGGCCCGTAATCTGCCCATGGGCCCCCCCGTACCGACTCCTCATGCTGTTACGTTGCAACATGGTGGAATTCAAACCCTACATATGATTAGACCGCCCTTTACGAACAGCGATAAGGCCATCACTGATTTCCTGATGTTACAAGCGGATAAAGGTACTCCCCTGTGTAACTAGATGTCAGCCATTGGCAGCTCATGCGTGACCACCTGCCACTTGCTCAGGCCCCTTTGAGGAGGCCACGCTATTCGTGAATCGGCAGGACTATGGATGAACGACGTCATTCCTCTGTTGCACGTCCCCTGAACAAATGCTGTTAACCAATGGCTGGTCAGGGTGCGGTAGATGTGGTGCACAGATCTCAACGCCACATGACCCCTGTGGGGGCAGGACAGGAAGAAGAGGAGGAGGGTAGAGGAGGACATTGGTGCTCAGGAATTATTGAGTGAAATGGTGGTTTTTCCACTCAGCGGACAGGAGTGGAGGAGCAGGGAGCATCTGGTAGAGGAGGAGGAGACAGAGGACCCAGACGCACCATGGCAGTATGCTGTGGAGATGGAGGCAGGGAGTCCCTCGCATTCCTTGGCACAAATGGCCCATAGCATGCTCGGTTGCTTGCGTAGCGACAGCCCGAATAATAACCATACAGACAGAGGGATGACTTTTGGCTGTCCACCCTTGTTGGACCCTCGCTACCGTTCAAAAATGGTGGCCTTTTCACACCTGCTGAGAGGGAGGCCAAATAACGTACTTATAAAAACCACCTATGTAGTCAGTTGGTCTCTGCCTTTCTGCGCCAACGTCCATCCTCAGACACTGTGGGCCCTGTGCGCTCGCGTTCCGCTGCCATGGCAGCAGGGAGTGGTGGGGTGGGGTAGGAGCAGTGGCAGCTCCACCAGCAGCGGCTGCCTCAGTCTGCAGTCGATGATGAAGTAGCTTTCTTCACCAGCGCAGTGAGGAAACTACTAACCAGCCGCAGCAGCAGCAGCATCAGGTGAACCAGGAGCAGGGGGACCTCAAACAACAGGCTTGGGCCTACTTGGACAGCACCCTGCCAACCGAGGTAGACAATCCCCTTGACTACTGGGCAACGAAACTTGACCTTTGGCCCCAACTAGCTGAATTTGCCCATTGAAAAAGGCTGTCATGCCCGGCCAGTAGCGTGGCATCGGAGCGCGTGTTTAGTGCGGCAGGAGGTAAATGTAACTCCGCGGAGGACACGACTGTCCACCCAAAATGTGTGGAGAGTGACTCATGTTGTGAAAATGAATCAGGCGTGGATTAGTCTGGATTTCAAACCACCAGTTCCTGACACAACTGACTAAATCCGTCCATGAATCATGCCCCAAACATGTTATTATTTTTTAACATAGGCCTCTGTATGGCCTTCAATTTAAGCTGCTTACACTTCGCCACTCTGCCATGGGCCCCTACCTCTACCGCCATCCTCTTGCTGCTGCCAGGTTCCAGATTGTGTCATGGGTCCCTGTACGGCCTACCATTGCTGCTGTCTCCATCGCCACACTCTGCCATGTGCCACTTTCAGGTCTCCTCACACTGCTGGTTGGGTTTAATTTTGGTCCCATAGGGTGCTGGCAGATTACGGGCCTTCCATTGCTGCTGCCAGCCGTAATCTGCCATGGCCCCCGCGTAACCCGCCTCCTCATGCTTTGCTGCCAGGTCCAGAGTGTCTTTGGGTCCCTGTAACGGCCTCCCATTGCTGCTGGTCTCCATCGCCACCACTCTGCCATGTGCCACTTTCAGGTCTCC